TTCAGAAACTGCTAGTAACTAATAGAACTGTCGTTCTAATTGACCACATTGCATCTGATTAGGTGGTATTAACTTTACTGTAAAGCTGTCTTTACATCTGAATTCCCTGTTACTGAGTTCACTTTTTTAAATCAAATGCATGCTTGCAGAACTTAACAATTAAATGCATAAGAGGAGTAAGTACTGAAGACTTTAATGGAATTTATTGTATTATAGATTTTCTGTCCATTCATAATTTTAAGTATTGACTCTCTAGGTTCTTTTCTTTTCTTTAGCACTTAAGCATAGGCTGCTGAAGATGTAGAGTATAAGTTCAAGTAAGGAAAACAGCTGATTATATCACCATCATTGCTTTGGCCTCTGCAGTCACCAGAAGGGTTCATTTGAGCTCTTTCTAATCCAACCTAAGTGGAAACTACATTACCTTAAAGAGCTAAACAGAAATTTTATATTAATCTAACTAACTGCCTAGCACTTAACCTCTGCTCCTTTTGCTGAATTATGTCCTCTACTTGCAAAATGATAAGCTTTCCAAAAGGTAGTATCTTTAAATCTTACAATTAATTCAAAAAAAGATACCAGACTGTGTCTAGTGACTGCTCCATGAGTGGAGATAGAATTTAGACTTGGGGGAGACTTAAGAGTAGAAGAACAGAAATTGGGATATTTGTTTAATTGAAATGCTTCTAGCTTAGTTTTAAAATGAGTTTGGACAGCAGAAAATGAAGACTAGAAATACATTGGTTAGGATATTAAGAACTAGTGATAGCAAATTAATTGAGGTGACTTGGGATTGCATCTTTTGTTTTAAGAAGTACTGTTATACTATAAGCTTTTTTCCATTTGAATTAATCATTCATTTAAGCAACTATATTTTTGAAAATTTTCTGTTTTGAATTTAGGACTTGATAAAATTGAATTTCTACAGAGGCATGAAAACCAAGAGATCTACCAAAAGGCTTTTGAACTCATAGAACATTATTTTGGTGTCGAAGAAGAGGACTCTAGTATTGCACCTCAGGTGGATGAAAGTCAGCAGCAGTTTGTGTTTCAACAGCAGGAGGCTCCAATGGAGGGGTTTCAGCTCTAAACTACTGAAGTGAATATAAGCATAAAATTTAAACACTTGTATGGTTTGGGTTTTTTTTTTCTCAGAGGTCTTTTCTTTATGGCCAAAGTTAGAGGAAAAGCAGAATATGTTTTACAGAAATAGATGAAGAAACAGCTCATGCACTTTTATATATTGTGTTAGGGACAACTGTTCTCTGTTTTGTATTTGTTTTCTTCATTATCTCTTATGTACAGAAAAAAACTGTGAGTAATCATGTCTAAAAGCATTAAATGTGATTTAACAAGAACTGTTTAGCTAAGACTTGGTAGGATTTTAGGTAGTAGTTCTGAATTTTTCATGTAGTCTCAAACTTCATATCAGCAATACAGTTACTGACAGTTGAATTTTTGGCAGTAGGCTTGACTTGCCCAGTCTCTATCAAATCTACCTCTTGTATTGAAGCAGAAACATTGCTTCAAAACTAAGGCATGAAATAAAGATGAGCTTGTAAGAAGCTGAATTGGAATGTGAAAAATATTTATTTAAATTGTGAAACTTTTATGCATTACTTACTTTACAACACACTGTTGGAATTTATTTATAAAATGTATTTAAAGACATAATAGATATACATATATAATGCTAATTACCTAATATAATATTGAATATATGAAAAAGTTCTTTCTGAATTATGTGGGAAGAGGACTATTTCAGAGGTTTTCAAATTGGAATCAGCAGAGACCTTGCTGGTCATTAGATGTTGGCTCTGTAATGAAAGCTGCTAAATGGCATTACAAGTCAGCCACAACTGCAGTACTTTGCAGTGGAAGCACCCGCTGCAGTTACCACAAGAAAGCTGCAATTAGGACTGACAGAAGGGTGATGTGCACCAATCACCAAGCTGATGTTTTAGAGCTGTCTTCTGTCAAGATGTGGTAACACCACTTTAGTTTGAGAAACATTGCAATGTTTGCCTTTTAGTACAATAGCTTCTTAAAAGTTTAGACAGTAGGTGTTGTTTTTTGACCAAGTATGCTACTGCCACTTGAATTGTTCCTTAGGTTAATGAATTTGGTTTGCTTTTGGTAAGACAATAGAAATACTGCAGTGAAAAATGAATAGTTAATCACACCAGTGGAAGGAAAAGTTTGTTGTACTGTAAATAGCATTAAGTATGTGGACACCAAAACTAACTAGAAGTTACTGTCATCTAAATATTTAGGTTCTACAATATACAGTGTTTGCTGTTAAACACTAAAAGATACAGAATTCTAATATTTATGCTAACAGTTTTGAGTACAGAAAAATGTATGCTCTGCTTTGACTTGCATATAAGTAGTGTTTCTGGTGTATTAGTAGTATATCTCATTTGGAGAAATTAATACTTTGGGTTAACTCTGAAGTATGCTATTTTTTATTACCTGTAATTAATGTATTAACATCAAACTCCTGGGTTAAGTGAAATCTGTGACATATGAGAGCATTTCGTGCTTCATAAAAGGCTGCAATTCTAACTTCAAATCACTTACCCATGGCACTGTGCTTGTCACTAAATAATATTTTAATGCACTGAAAAATACAGGTTAAAGGTGGTATCATTTACAGTACCATTTTATATTTAGAATTTTTTTTACATGCAAGTTAAGATTCTAAGATGTTTCACTTTGATGTTACAGCAATATATTCTATATTGTAATTGAATGTGGGACTTGAAGTGGATTTTCTAAATTAATGGTCAGTTTTGACTAAGATATAACTGGGAGGGAAGCAACCTCCCTTTGAAGTCTTTTTAGTGGAAGATAGAAGTGTAAGAAGTGTATATAGGAGTGCTGTTACTTTATGAACTCTGAATAATGAGATATTTTAGCAAATGACACTTTAAACCTAGATTTGTACAGCATACAACAGTTTTGAATAGTGTGATAATATTGAGTACAGCTGCCAAATTTCCATATAATGTTAGGTGATTGTACTTACGCCCTTTTTACTCTCATAGTTTTAGGTTTTCATACACCAACCCTCATTGTTTCCCATGATCTCCCCACTGCCCATCTATTAAAGAACAGGGTAACAATCATGGAAATCTACCAAGGTTACTAGCAAATGCTGAATTTCAGTGTTCTAGCGTAAGAGAAATATTCAGGTAACAGGGTATTCCTTTGTTTCTAACAACCTTGTTTTGATAACAACCAGCTGTGCCTGCTTTTTATTTGGAGAACCCTGTAAAACTACATTTATAAACCTCTCTTATTTAAACCAAATCTCAACTACGAAAATCTTAATTGAAAGACTTGAAAATTAAGAAAAGAGGGGAGATTTAAAGTGTTATATTTGTTTTGAAAGAATGTCTTCAGTTGTGTGGATATATTATTCTATCTTGTGGACGGTTAGTGACTGCACTTTACACATTTAGACAAACTATATTTCATGCCTCTGATACATTTAAATGGAATAGTTTGAAAGGAGACTAAAATTGATGGACTTAGGATGATGGAAATATTTTTTAAACTCAACATCTGGTTTACCCTGATATTGTTAAAAAATATTAGTGAAAATCGTTTAAAGGATGGTCTCTCCTATTTTATCACTGGGTTTATATCATGCTTTGTTAGAAGCACATAAATGAACAAAATAAAACCAGAGATTATGACTTAAGGTCAGCTCCGGTGTACTCATTTGCAGGTAGGGGCATGATTATGATGATACCTAAAGAGATTAAACTAGTATGGAGAGAGAAACAAAACTGTGATATGAAAATCTCTAAGTTTGGCATTTTATATGCAATGTGAAGTGTCCCATCAGTTACAAAGTCTTTTTAAAAATACAGGGGTTTGAGTTTAATTAAAAGGGTACCATTTGTTCTGCTTAAATGTGAATACTAACCAGCTAATCTATGCAACTATGCAGAGCATAAGATTTTTTTATTAGTTCTCTACTCTTGTTACAATGAATCATATCTAATTTTTTTCATCATTGCACTTTTGTCTGAGGATTGGTTCATACAGCTTTTTAATTTTCTAGTATTTGCTTTACACACTGTTCGTAGCAGCAATCAGAAAATAGTAATAATGTTGGCACAGAAATGTTTGCTGTAGAACAAGTTTGCAACTGGAAACTATTTATTGTTGGGCCTGTCTTTAAAAACAAGTAAAGATGCACTATTGTCTTTCCTCCATGGTTAATTCTCAGTAGGTTTGAATTTATTAAATTGTACAGCTGAGGATTTTTGCAAAAGGTCTGCAAATTGATACGTGGACTTAAACTGTGACCTCAGGATTTCACTGAAATCTGGAATAAGAAATTCTAGTTACTTATGGCACAATGTCTTACATATATAATGTCAGAAATCTAAATTACCTGTATTAACTTCAGATAGTAATAGTGCATCTTTAAGTCCAGGCCAAAGGCCCATTACTGTAACAGAACACATATAAGTAGTATGCAATATTATGGAATGTTAAATCTCCAAATACCATACAGAAACCAATAAAACCTATTTTACAGATGTTTACTGTATTTATTTAGTGATTCAGTAAGTGTTGCTTCTTAAAGCTAAAAAATGCAAATACCATTTTGAATACAGCATTGATGCCAATGAGTTCCAAGTGGCAATTTGTGCACTGTCACCAGACAGAAAACTTCTTGGGTGTAAATATTTTGTGGTTATCTAACCAAAGGTACCTGACATTCTTAGGGAGCTACCTCATCCCCTTTAAAACTAATTACTGCTTTTAATGATATGCAAAACATTCTAAATAGTTTTAATTCTATGCAACAAATATCCTGAATATCTTCCTAATGAAAGAGCCATTCCTTTTCTTTTTGTGATGCTGTAACTGCCCTTACTGGCTCTAGGGTGTGCATACTACAGTTGTCCATTTAGGGGTGAAACTCACTAATTCCTCTCAGCAGCAGTTAATTTTGCTCTTCCAAGGACTTTTAGGTGAAGTTACTTGGTCTTCGCCTCCGCGGCCAGCGCAGCCTCCTCCCGCCACTTGGCCTTCTTTGCCAGGTTCAGGCTCGTTAAGGACTCATGACGTGCCGCTGCCTGAGGAAGTAACAGCGTAGGAGTAAGGGTGCACCCAGGGAAAGCTGCCCAGCCTCAGGAATGGGCAACAGCCACTTAGGGTGGTGGGGGTGACAGAGACTACATTAGCTAAAGCTTGAGCAGCTCTCAGCTGCTGCTCTTGGTTTTCACAGAATTCCATTATTTTAAAGTACGCTCCATGGTCATACCTCACCTTCTTAGCTGAGGCAATCACCGCAAAGCAGGCAATAATTGATAGCCCAATCATGATGTAACAGGCTTTCACTCGAGCTTTGTTTCTTGCCTTGTCTAGCATCTCTGGCCTGCAATTAAAGTAGTTGAATTGAGTCATTAAAAAAGGCAAAGTATCTCTTCAAAGCATTGCAGACATAACATCACAATTAAAAAATAAATATATCTTCAGCTTGCTGCGGTTAGTTATGTATCAGCCATTTTTCTGATCCTAATCCATTTCCCATGGCAAAGCAACATTTAGTGGATTTAGACTGTTTTTGGGGTTTTTTAAGCTGGGAAAAAAATTGCTCAGGCAATAAATGTTTGCTTTTAATGCTTGGGATAAATACACCAGAAATCACACCTTAAACTCTAAACATAGTGAAAGTTGAGTGGGGTTATCAGTTTAAAACATGGAGTTTACCATGTATATGTGGTGTTGGATGGAGTAAAAGCAAATTCCCTTTATTCAAAGTTAACTTTAGAAATCAATTACTGCTGTATCTAACCTGTTCAGATGGTGTTCTGTAGGCTAAGGACTTTACATCCTTGGATTGTTGATTAAAGCAGAGTTTGTACTACCTATGAGTTAAAGGTTTTAGTTCTTTATTAAAGCAGCAGCCTGACAGAAAGTGGGCAGCTGATGTCAGCCACCTTGCTATTTCAGGAGCACAGACCTAAACAAGAACAATCAACAGGATTGTTTTTGCTGGTCATCAAAGGCAAAAATAGTGAAAACTGCTGTCCTCTGTTTGGCAGTAGTCAGTGCAAAGGAGGCATTTTACATCCCAGCAATCTGCTTTGGTACAGCTCCCATTTCCACCCTCCTCTCTTCTGAGCCAGCAGCGTGGCCCTGGGGAACCAGCAGTAGCGGAAATCATGAAAATTGTCCCAAAACCTTCAGCTAAGTTTTTCCAAGTCAAACATTATACTTTGGAGTACAATTTTTAAGATATTCATAATAATACTGGCTGTGCACCATTTTCCTTTCATAATTCATCATGGGAATGCTTTATATATATATAGACAGATATATTTGTAAGAGATATGTTTTATACGTATGTATAAACCCAGAACTATGTGTCTAAAAAGAATAGTTGCATAAAGAATTGATTTTGTGTTCTAAGTAAACATGTTGTAATGCTCTCTTTCCTTCAAAAAACCTTTAGATTTACTTTAATGTGGTGGGATGGGGCAGAGCTGGGGATTTGGGAGTGCCCATGAAAGCCTGCACCAAGGCTGAGTGCTGCAGTGCTTTGCTCTAAGGTTCGGTGTGGTGGAAGAGAACAGATCCCGTGGGTGGCAGTGCTGTACCAACCCCTCTTTGCCAGCGCACACAGGAGGAGCACGTTGAGCACACTGTTTCTTGCAGGTGACTAACAATGCCTGCAGTTCTAAGGAGCTGCTTCTGGTTTGTGCAATGATAAAAATCATCTTCAAAACAAACTGCACATCAGACTGGCACGTAGGATCATTAATCCAATAATCCATTTGTGGCAACAAAAGCAAAACCGTAAATGTTATTAGTCTGATGTATTAGCCTAATTATATTTCACAGTGCACTAATTGAAACTCCTCTGAGGCAGATTTTCACTTTCTCCCTGCTTTCTGCATCTGCTTTAAGGAAAACAGACAATGTTCTTCCCTAATTGCATATTAGGGTCTTTGCTATGCAGTCCTTAATCATGACTCCAGGCAAACCTCTGCTGAAGTGAGCAACAGCTGGGGCTTTAAGAAAAATCCCAAAGAAACCACAATAGCCTTGAAAAAAGCCTGCAGATTTGTTTCATAGTACAAACAATCTTCAGCAGTTAGGTTGTGTTCACACCTTGCAATTCTTCGTTTGACGAGTTAAAACAGTGCCACAGTTGAGCCTCAATTACTAACAATCAACTACTTCTAGTATATTACTATTTACAGTATTGTATTGTGTAGTATAGTCTTACAGTTCTAAAAATACTTTGCTTACCCAGAAAGCACAGTTGTAACACTCACCTGCCAGGCCAGAAAGGAGTGATTTTTTTGCATGTGTCTGTATGACTGACAAATGCCATGTCTTTATCTAACATCCTAAGAAAAGGGAGCCTTAAACATTAGAGGGGTTTCAGGTGTTTAGTGCCTGACTCCCTTAGGGGTTGCTAATTTTCAGCAAGTCAGAGAACTGTAGAGTCTATGTGGTTTGGGTGAGAAGGGACCTTCATCATCTAGGATCATCTAGTCCAGTGGGTCAGCAAGAATAGGAGACTAAAGCCATGTCAAGTGCTCAGTTTTCCTTGATGAGGGCTTCTTCTCTCATTACCTCCTTCCCTATTTTTCCTCAAATTCTATGATAAAAAATAATTTATTGTATGTAGTCATTCAGTGACAGCTCCCTTAGAACAGTTTATGCAAGCTATTAACAAAAAATATTGTTTACCAACAACATCTCTCTCTGATTGTGTGTTAGGACTAAGCAAAACAAACAAGCCAGTATATAAATGTAACCAAGGCTGTCTACTCAGATGGATCCGTTCTTAATCCCAGGCTCTAGGGACTCCAGCAAGGAACATTTTCTCATCTTAACCTCTAACCAGGACAGGAAATTCTCTTGCCCTCTAATTTGTTTCCAAGTCTCAGTGTTGTAAAACCGATCGTTTTAAGCTCTGTGGAAAAGCCTTAAATCTTCCACAGAATCAGGATCACAGCACTGCTTTCCCTTCAGCTCCATGTTACCCTTGGACAAGGCCAGTGCACTTACGGGATCCTCAGAGGAATCTCTTCTTCTGTCTTGAAACGTCCAGTCCAGAGGAGGATTTTCTTGTCAAACTTCGAAGGTTTGCAACTTGCAACCACCCTGTGAGCCTGCTCAGCTTAAAGAGTAAGAAAAGAACCCCACTTTGTAAACCGTGCACTAAAAGAGAATTATGACTGACAGTAAGGTGTAGAAGGGAAAAACCCTACCCATTTGGTTGTTGTAAGAGTAATTTAGGGATTAGATCTCCGGGTTTCGGCTACGCAGAGTCACCTCTGCACCGTCTCTGGAATATCCTCGCACGCAGCGAGTATTTTTGCGGGTCTGATTCGACCTCCCCTCCGCCCGCGGCTGTGGCTACCCAAGCGAGCAGGAGAGCGCTCGGGACCACTCGAGCGGGCCGCCCCACCGGGCAGCGCAGCCCCGCTCCGTCCCGGTCCCGGTCCCGGTCCCGGTCCCGGTCCCGGTCCCGAGCCGCCCGCCCGCCCATCTCCCCGTCAGCCCCGGGACGCCGCCGCGGGGCCGATCCCGGCGCCTCCGCTTCCCCCCGGCTCGGCGGGCAGCCCCTTACCGCGGGTGGTGCCCGGGCTCCGGGCGGGATCCCCGGTGGTCGCCGCTCCCCGCGGCGCGGGCGGGCGGAGCGGCGCGGCGGACAGCAGCCGCCCCGGGCGGAGGCGCGCCGGCAGCATAGCCAGGATGGCGAGGAGCGGCGGGACCCTCTGCCTCGGCCGGACCCTCTGCCTCGGCCGGACCCTCTGTCGCAGCGGGACCCTCTCCTTCGGCCGGACCCTCTGCCGCAGCCGGACCCTCTGCCGCAGCGGGACCCTCTGCCTCGGCCGGACCCTCTCCCTCGGCCGGACCCTCTGCCGCAGCGGGACCCTCTCCCTCGGCCGGACCCTCTGCCTCGGCCGGACCCTCTGCCGCAGCCGGACCCTCTGCCGCAGCGGGAACGACCCCAGCCCCGCCCCGCCCAACCCCGCCCCGCGAACCCTTCCAGCCAACCCTTCCTTCTCGCCGACACCCGGCGAGATCGGTCCTCCCGAAAAGGCATCATGTTCACTTACTACACTCATGGATTGCAACTCAAGTGAAGAAAGGCCACCGTCCGAGACAAAACTCAGCTAAGGAAACAGACGCGGTAGTTCAGCTTCATGTTAGGACGTGCACCTGCTGGAGCGAGTCCTGAGGAGGGCCACAAGAACAAGAGACCAGGAGCTTCTCTCCCGTGAAGACAGGCTGGGAGAGCTGGGGTTGTTCAGCTTGAAGAAGAGAAGGTTCCAGGGAGACCTTAAAGCACCTTCCAGTGCCTAATGGTGGCCCACAAGAAAGATTGAAAAGGGTTTTTTACAAGGGCATGTAGTGATTCCTATATTCCCATTACAAGGAGTAATGGCTTTAAGCTGAATCAGAATGGGTTTAGAATAGGAAGAAATTCTTTCCTGTGAGGTTGATGAGACGCTGGCACAGGTTGCTCAGAGAGGTTGTGGATGCCGCATCCCTGGAGGGTTTGATGGGGCTTTGAGCAACCTGGCCTAGTGGAAGGTGTTTCTGCCCATGGCAACTAGATGATCTTTAAGGTCCCTTCCAACCCAAACCATTTTATGATACTAGGTAGAGTATAAGTTCTGCGACACAAACCTGCCCACATCTGTGTTTCTGTCATTTTACTGCTTTCATGCTCAAATATACTGATTCTCATCATAGGCTTTTCCATCTACTTCAACTGAAAAAAAAATAAAAATTGTTGTTTTTCTCTTCACATCCTGGACAGATTTTGATTAAAAAACAAAACAAGCAAACAAAAAACCAACCAAAAAACCCCTCCAAAATAAAACAAAGAAACAAACCATAAAAAAAATTCAGAGAAACCAGCACAGAATAGACATTTAGTAAGTAACAGCCTGTGTCAGCGTGATATTCATGACAGTTTACGACTGTCTCAACACAGCTGTGTCTGATGCACCAAGCAGTGGAAGATTTTACGTGCATCAGCCAAAGCCAGAATAGCTGCAGATGAACAGAGGAAGTCCCACTCCCCAGGGAGAGATCACTGTCTGGCAACAGCCTAAGTCCTGTGCTCAGTGTGACAGCCCAAAAGAGGAGTTTTGAACAATTTGTAGCCAAAACCTCCAGCTATCTTTTCTTCAGGAGCAGAGCATACAAGAAAAAGGAGGAGATGCACCTCTTTACATGCACACACGCACTCCTTGAGCAGCTGTGCCCTCTTTCAGAACGTTGTCAAGGAGATGAAGACACATCAACAGAAATGACCTAGAGGATGATACTTTACCTTTGCTCAAAGAGAGTGGCATAGTGTGACTATGTCAAGCAGTGCTCCTTGTCCCTGAAGACACAGCTGGGAAGGGTAGGAAGAGTCAGCACATCTGGGCTGGGCTCAGTGTCATTCATCATGAGCAGCATCCCAGACACAGCTATCAGTTGCCCCTCCTGACAGTCACCCACACATTTAGAATTCCAATGGCCATCAGAAGAGCTGCTGCGAGGGAGCCTGGAGTTCATGTAGTTTCCAGCACTCACCAAAGAACTGCTCTAAAGAATGTGGGCAGCTGAAACACATCTACACAGCCAGAGCTACTGAAATCTTGAGGGAATTATGCTCTGGAGAAGAGGACATCAAACACTTGGTGACCTTTGTGGTCTTCATTCTCCCTGAAGATATTCTACATTGTATGATAGTGGCTTCAGAATGCAGCATTTAGCATTATTAACAGTGGATGACATAAGCCCTAAAAATGTTAAATAATGTTTACATCCAGAGCAGCCTCCTGCTGACCTTAACAAACTGCATTTTCCCCTTTGATTTCTCTGTGAACAGCACTGTATTTGGAGACATTTGTTCTCTCTATTGATCTCAGAGATGGAAAACATGCCTGTGGGATGTTAGTGCTTTGAGAAGTTTTTGGAAAGACCCTGAAACCTCTCAAAGGTTTCAAATCTTTCCAAAGTAAGCAAGCAGAGTGTGCTCTGGGCCAGAAAAAAGAGCTGGTCCCTTTGGCCTCACTTGGCCTGCCCTATGGGCCATGGCTCTGGGAACACCAGGGTAAGGCTTGGCTATGACTCTGGAAGGTGATTCCTGTTCTGTGCTCTGGGGATGAAAATCTGTTTCAGGCTCATTTAATGTCCCCATGGCTGACAAGAGGAATAGTTAGATTGCTGGAATACTTACTGCCCTGGGCAGGAGAATGTGCACAAAGGCTACTTTGGCATAATAAACTCCTATTTTAAGCTTTTTCATATCCTCTGTGTAGGGTAGCAAAATCCCTTTATGTTCTATCTACATTTATGATCACTTGCTTCTCACAGACAAGGCATTTAAAGCCATGTAGCACATCTTGGTATAAAGTCTCTTTTTTGCTGTCAAGTCAAGCTCCCAAACCTGTTACATCCTCTCTGCTCCACCATGGACTGTGCTTTGTACAAAAGACATGGAGAATTAGATGGAGCATGTAAGGCTCCTTGAAATTCTGCCATATGTCCTTCCTCAGAGATACCTTGGTAGAGACCTTCACACTGCTGTCACCAGGCCCTGTTCATCAACACATTCTCCTCATTGTCCCACAGGAGGAATCCCTGACCACACACAGCTTTCAATCTAAAGGATGTTTCTAAGCAGGCTGAGGTCCATAGTGGAAAAAACCTTACAGGTGTGTGCTTTGCTGTTGTTCAAGGCCAAACAGAAGCTCATGGGGTGAGGTAAGGAAATTAAGTAAGCAAACTCAATTTTAAACATCAATATGGCTTTAATCATTCCCTTTCATATAGCTTCAAGGCATGCTACACTCAACACTTTTGAAAACAGTAAATACAGGTACAACATTCCAGCCAAATTAACTTTTCTAACCAGCTATTTGCTGACAGTTGTGAAATGTAAGCTTTGCTTCTCTCTTTTAGGGGAAGACTTCTTGCTGCATTGGCTGTCACACTGCAGGCATTTTAACCTTATCATACATAACCTCATATGCAGAAAAGTATTTTCAACAACTGAAGTATAAATAGCATTCAACATACAAATATATACACATAAACCTTCATTCCTGCAATCAGCAATAGAACATATGTATTTACACAAATCTGTATGTGAATTGCACTCTTGCCTTTCAAATGACTTTAAAATACCTTAATAGATACACAATAACAAGGATTTAGTATTATTTTATAGTAACATGGCACAGAACTTAAGTAGCAAAGTTTCTGTGTTCTGGGCTTTATGAATATGGAGAATTATTTTCCTGTTCCTGTATCGACAATGTAGTTCTGCTGTTTAAGCTCTGTCTGAAAAAGCTCTGTGGTGCCATTATCCTGACAGAAAAATTCTTCCTCCTCTGAATGTGCCCTTTCCCTCTCATACAGAAGGCACAGCACAACTGTGCTCATGGAGCTACAGAGCAGAGACTCATTCAGTGCAGATCATGCCAGGTCATCTTTGTGCTATTTCTCTGTATCGGTGCATTGTCATGTTCTCATTGAAAATCACATTTTTTAAAATATATATCAACCCCCATGAATTTTCCAGGATACCCTCACGCTGATACTGGTCATTACATTATTTATGCTAATGAGAGGAATCAATTGGTGGTTTTAAGTTTTGACATTACACATTGACTTTACACTCTCAAATAAAAGGACACCTGGGGCTCACTCTCCTCGTGCATCAGAGGAGGTGCATGAGGTGAATCAATGTGTCTCTCCTGAGTATGGGGAAAAAAGGCAGATGAACATATGTATGACTACAGAGCTCCAGCAGAATTCTCTAATTTCCTTACAGCTCTGTCTCTAGTTCATTACCATGAAAGTAAACACAAGAAAACTTAAATGTTACTACAGTACTCATCTGGAATAAGTAGTGCAATTTTGGGGAGGAAAAAAAAAAGATTCATTTATACCAGATGAAAAGAGCTACTTTTGGAAGTTCAGAAGACTGGAAAGCCTGTCTTAAAAGTGGAGACTAAGGGACTGGACTTGTTTATCTTGGCAAACAAAGGCTGGGACAAGGCTCTCTTTGATCTGTAAAATGGGGCCAAGATGAGAAGAAGAACTCCTTAAACAACTAAGCATCAAAGAGGTGAAAGAAGTGGGGAAACTCATGTGGTCCCACTTACATGACTGTGAGAAATAATAATTTTGTGCTGCTTCTGCCTCACTTGAGGAAGGGAGGTTGCAGAATAGCTTCCCACAGGTCAATGCAGGCTGGATGGGGAAGGAGGGGAGCTGCTGAAGGGGACTGCACATCAGCGAGTTTGCAGTAGCAAGGGATAGACTCTGGGAATCAGGAAAGTCTTTCAGATCTGGTAGTGGATAACTGCCTAAGTACAGGAAAAGGTGTTTAATGTGGCCTGCCCTCCTTGCAGACAGCAAAAGGAAAGAGATCTGAAAGAAAAATGGCTCCCTAAAATGGCTTTTTAACTTCTGGTACTTTAACATTGGCCAGTCATATGCTGGAGACTCTCTTCCTGACCATAGTCCTTGCAGCATTTTTAGAAAGAACTTTTCCTTTTATTAGTGACTGCCCAGGCACTTGGAAATGGCAGTTTCCATTCACAGAGTCATTCTCAGTTTTACACGAGTCTGTGATAGTGGCTCGGAAGCTGGAAGATTTTGAATCTAGAGAAGCCTGACTAACAGCAACGCTGCCTGCACTCTTAGAGGAGTAAGTGTAAACCATTTTGAG